CCAATAGTAAGGTACCAGCAGGGGTTCAAAGTTCAACCTATAGATTATATAGGGTAAAGTCTTTAAAAATCTGCTATTCAAGAACTACCACACTAAAATTTGTGATATTATTTTGCAAACATCCCTATGCAGTGTTGTTTCAAGCTTGTTGAAACAATGACCATTAAATCACCAGTGGGGCCCCTGAAGGGTTGCAAAGTTTTACATAGTAATTTATACTTGTGTATAGGAAAAAATTAAGTCTTTTTAACAAATTCTACATTGCTACAATAGTGGGGCCTAAGGAGGGAATCTTGAGTAAATTTGTTCAGTATGGAACAAATATCAAAAAAATACTTTTGCAATTTATTCCAGCACTTTTTAGCTCACCTGAGCTGAAAGCTCAAGTGAGCTTTTCTGATCACCCGTTGTCCGTCGTCCGTCCGTCTGTCTAGCTGTCCGTCTGTCCGTCCATCCATCTGTAAACTTTTCACATTTTCAACTTCTTCTCAAGAACCACCTGGCCAATTTTAACCAAACTTGGTACAAAGTATTCTTGGGGGAAGGGGAGTTTAAATTGTGAAAATAAAGGTCCAAGTCCCCTTACAAGGGGAGATAATCAAGAAAAGACAAAAATAGGGTGGGGTCATAAAAAAATCTTCTTCTCAAGAACCACTGGGCCAGAAAAGCTGAAACTTACGTGGAAGCATCCTGGGATAGTGTAGATTCTAAATTGTTCAAATCATGACCCCCGGGGGTAGGGCGGGGCCACAATAGGAAATACAAGTTTTACATTGAAATATATAGGAAAAATCTTTAATCTTCTTCTCAAGAACCACTGGGTCAGAAAAGCTGAAATTTATGTGGAAGCATCCTGGGGTAGTGTAGATTCTAAATTATTCAAATCATGGCCCCTGGGGGTAGGGCGGGGCCACAATAGGTATTACAAGGGGGAAGTCTGGTAATGAACAGCATGGCCAAAGTTACTCAGGTGAGTGATGTGGCCCATGGGCCTCTTGTTTTGTATTGACACACATTTCACAAAAGCCACTTGTGTCAGAGTTAAGTGAGTTTGCCATTGTTGCTCAGGTGAACAATGTGGTCCATGGACCTGTTGTTATTATTATTAATGCTAATTATTTTCAAAATAATTTTTAGAGATCATTCTGTGCCACAAACAAATTGTTCAGAAAGGGGACATTGGTGGATTTGCATTTTGGGTACAATTCAAAGAATTTTCAATATGATGATGGAAGATCAGAGGGAGGACAAATGGGAAAAGTTGACAGAGAAAGAAGAGAAAAGAATTAGGAAATATCTGGAATAAATATGAATGAGGAGGATGTACTTAATCTTGTCAGACTTTGACATGCAAGGCTTTCTATATTTATATGTATACTGGAATATCATTTTGATTGTAAAATCTCATTTTAATGTATTCACTTTTTATATTTTATGCTTTATGCATAAATACATAAACATTTTCATGAAAAACTATATATATGTATATATGTATCTTTGTTCGATCGAGACACCATCCTTTGTGATTTCATACTCATTTATGTGTTAAATATGCTGTAGGTACATGTAATCTGAATTTATGATTTGTCATAAATTTACAATAGAGATTACATATATTGACAAATGTTATTGCAGATATTTCAATTTTGCTAAGAACACTTCCATGCCATATGGTATTTTTATACAAGTTCATGATCTAATTATGATATTTATTGGTACATGTATACATGTTCATTTCCTTGATCATTTTGCTGAAATCCTTTCAAATAATTTGTACTCGTTTTAGAATATGTAAAATACATGTATCGACAAATGCTACTGACTTGTTTGTATACTTTCTTTTTTAAAGTGTGCACTGTGTGATATTAGTTATTTCTGTTGATGAAGATACTTTTGGAAAATTATGCAAGCATTATCAAATATTTACAGGTATTTAACAGATCATTGGAATGTACTGAAATTTCATCTAAAGCAGAAATACCTGGTTTTCAATGTGTACAAGTGTGTATTTCCTTTTGAAAAATATGAAAAAAAAAAACCACATAAATGTTTCATATGATATACATATGATGCCCATTTCATATGATTCTCATATGTAAATGACTTGAAACACACTAAAACTTTTCATATGATTCACATATGTGAATCATATGTGACTCATATGATTTGCTTCATATGATTCACATATGATGCCCTTTTTTTATGATTCTCATATGAAACCAATCATATGATTCACATATGATACACATATGTGGATCATATGTGGCAAAGTTGCCTGTGTAATAGTTATCATTATTGTTCAGTTTGTCATCAAACACATCATCAGCATCACTGTCGCTTTCATCTCAGACACAGGTTGTCGCTGCATCAACACTCAACACCGTCATTTAATTTGTACATTTCCAAAAAATTGTAATAATTGAACTACAAATTTAAATTTCCTCCTTAAACTAGTCATTGTTGACAGGGGTATTGTACTGGCTCTCAACAAAATGATGCTTTGGCTAATTCTGTCATTTTGCGATGGAAAAATATCACATGCACCTGACGAATGGATGGTGTAACAACACCCCCCCCCCCCCCCCAGCGTCTGAGAATTTTTATTAGGCACAAAAACCTATCAAAAATACATGAATTCCTAGTATATCATTCCTATATTTCGATATCTGATATCATTTCCGCTTTTGTTAGTATTTTTATACTTTTTGCTAGTATATTTATATACCATAAAGGGTCAATCTCTAAAACTTAGAAATTGAAAATCATAATTTTTCATTTATTTTGTTGACACGAAGTCCATAATATTTGACCTTTTTACATTTAAATGCTTCTTTCAATATATGCATGCTACTTTACAGTAAAAATCGTTTATAGCAAAGTCTTTAGGATTTGTGGGTTTCCTTTTCTTTATCTGTAACTCATTATATCCGTTTAATGAATCGTAAACGTATATATAACGAATTCACAATATAATTATGTTTTCCTTTTTATAACTACTGAATATTGTAAATGTGGAAATTAACGTATGGGGTTAATGATTTTGATCATGAACACGTAAATACCACCCCTTCCCATCCCACACCCAGCACAAACAAACGCCCATATACATGTTTTATTAAAGTAATCCTGTAAAACACACTTCAATACCAGTGTCATACGTATTTAGTAAAATCTCAAGAAGAAACACTACAAAAAATAAAGTCAATATAATGATTGTCTTTATTTGGATTCGCTATTAAAGATGTGCATTTCGCTTTAAATAACCTCTAAGGAACACAAGTTCAACTCGCTATATCCTTAAATTTGATGTAAAGAACTTCGTTATACCCTTAAATTTTACAAGGAATTGTTAAGAATGTTGACTGAGACCCAACAAACTTTGCAATATTTGTAAATTTGATATATTTGCCTTCTTTCAAAACGAGTTAACGGACTGAACTATATTGCTGTACTGAATGTGATATGAAAATACCCCCCACCCCCCTTTTTTTTCACATGTGCAGTACTAAAATGAACTACTTATTTTGTTTTAAATGGTAATAACTCCTTCCAATATATGTGCAGTACTATACTGTTTACTAAAAGTAACTACTCCCTATTATACACATACATGTATCATGAAATACTGTACTAATTCGTGTAAATTACATGAAAATCACATTCAAGACACGTAAACTGTTATATTGAACCAGTTCTACTGAGTGTAACAAGTAATTTTCCCCATACGTGTATTCTGCTAGAATATACTAGTTCTACTGGGTGTTGAATGTAAATTCTCTCTACAATACATGTCTATGTGCCTAATACTCTACTAGTACTACTAAGTTTTACATGAAAATCTTCCCTATAATACAGGTGCATTACTATATCAAATCTTTGTCCTAATCTATTAAAGTTTACTTCTAATATTTACATTTCACAGTTGAAATTTATGTTTATTGAGATTCAATATCATATGTTAGGTACTGAGCATATTGCTTTGGACTTTGACAAACACAGCAATGATGAAGAACTCGAATCGGAGTCTTTTGATAAATAATAAGATCCTGAAAATAGCATGCAAAGCAAAGTCTACTGGTAATACTATGTTCTTTCAAAGCAAATAACATATTATATGACATTTATTCAATGATTAGAATCAAATCAAATATATGGAGATAACGAACAGTATTCAAGCTCAAAAGTCCATTAAACAATACAAAATAGGAGCAGAGCAAACACGGACCTCAAAAATATCAGAGGTGGGATCAGGTGCCATGGAGGAGTGAGCATCCCCTGCCGACCGGTCACACCCGCCGTGTGCTCCTTGTCATTATCGGGAAATAACGGAAAAATCCGTAGACAATTCAGAGTGTAAATAATGGTCTAACAATTAGTATGAAAAGCGTCAGTCAGCATTTGACTCAATGATAAACTGTATATGCTGACAAGGTCATTGTATCGACCATAGAACTTACGAAATGATGACTTTAAACGAGACAGCTGATATTCTTGTTTCATCAACTTGTTTGTCAATAATTTACCTCGTTTTAGAAATTGTACATACTTAGAACATGCTCATTTGATACCCATTAATTTTCTTTATTTCATTTAGCAAAGAATAAACATTAAAAAAAACAATTAAACTGGTTTGAAAATGTATAGACAATCTAAAAAAAGTTGTATCATTGATGCTTGACACATGTATTTAGGCACAATTTTAAATAATTTAGGATCTTTGAGCTAAGAGATCAAATTATTTTCTCAAATATTCTTGTCAATATTTTTGTACAGAGCATAGAAATACTAGGAAACTAAAAATAATCTGTGAATTAATAGTTTATTTTGATATTTCATACTCCTTCACTAAACTGGTTTTATATCGTGACCAGTTAATATAAATTCCTTGACAACCTGGCACCAAAGAATTTTGGTGTTTATAAATTAATGAATGTTTCATCTACGTTTTACAAATTTTGACACAATCTTATATAAACCACTGATAAATACAGTGCACTACCTTGACTTCCTGAAGCTTGTGAAGTTGTCCCTCAGAAAGAGATTCTTTAGACTAGCACAGGGCAGAACAGGTCTTTGTTTTCTCTATTTCACCTTTCTTCAGTTTATCTACATCTTTTCTATTTATGAAAAAGTGAAAATAAGTATAGAGTTTCTAACATTTCATATACCAAGTTCATCAAATCTCTGTTTCTCATATCAAATTCTGCATCATTGAAAATCATTTTCAACAAACACAATTATAATTGTAATGCATGTAATGCAATTTTTTTCAGTTTACATTGCATTGCAAAATTTGAAAGAAATTGCATTGATTTTATCTTGTCAATTTTAAAGAAAGTTACAATCATCTATTATTAAGTCAAATGCTAACTGACGTTTTTCATACTAATTGTTAGGCCATTATTTATACACTGAATTGTCGACGGATTTTTCCGTTTTTTCCCCCCGATTATGACAAGGAGCACACGGCGGATGTGACCGGTCGGCAGGGTATGCTCACTCCTCCATGGCACCTGATCCCACCTCTGATATTTTTTGAGGTCCGTGTTTGCTCTGCTCCAAATTTTGTATTGTTCCAATGGACTTTGAGATTAATTACTGTTTGTTATTTTCATATTTCATTATCTCCATCATAATACTAAACCACTGGTTACTATTATTTGTACATTGTCATTGAAATGAAAAGAATATACATTAAGAATGTCATTTGCCGACAATTTGTACAATGTCATTTAAAATTAAAGATTTATATTTCATTACATCTGAAAATTTTTACTTGTTGACAATTTGTTAATCCCTGACTTTTATATCAGCTCACTTGTTGATATCCTGAAGAAAAAAAACAATACAATTATACACGGACTTTAACTTTTTTCTAGACTGACTTTTTGAGGTTATAAAAATATTTGTAGAAAATTTTGTACAATAAATGTGGTTTTCATAAATTGGATATGTGAGCAATATTTTTGCTTTGCTCAAAGCAAAAAATTGTCCGAGAACTTATATATATGTATATAACAATTTAGTAATTTTACCCTCTATACTTCTACTTTACCTTTTCCTAACATTCTAACATCCACATCTTCTCGTCCTGATGAAGAAAAACGTTGTTCTGGGGAAAAAAATTTAAGTACCATAAATAGATGCATGTTCAGAATTTGCTAGAGGCCTGTTGATCACAATGCTCAATAGAATCAATTCTCACTTTTCCTTACAGATGAATATCAAATCACTCATTGTAACCCTAAAGTTAGCTAACGACCATGATTTTATATATATTTATATTAGGGATGTCAAATCGGTCAATTTTTGATAATCGGTTACTCGGACGTTTTTCCGATCGAGTACCCGGGTACTCGGTAAAAATGTAAATACAAGTGTGTTAATTTTCTTGAGCCCCGTTAAATTTCGTTAAACCCCAAAGCTGTTTTTATCACGTTTATAAATGTATATAAACATTGATTCCAACGTAAATGCTTTTTGGTACTAAATGTATTTATCAAATAAACACAAAAGACAAAATTAATACATCAAAAATTAAAAATGGTTTACGGATCTTGTTTAGGATCTATTTCATCAAAAGGAGGACAATCTGTTACGCAGGTATGTTATTATTAGACTAGCCAAAGAGAAGGAACGGACGTTGTCGGGATTGCTACATGTAGTCTAATATTCTGGTAAGTTTAGTGTATACGGGGAAAACAATTTCATATGTTGATTGTTTCCCCCATAGACACTTAACTTACTACGCAAACTGACTTTCAACATTTATTTTGAATCTTTAGTTATTTCTAAATATTTCTTCACTTTTGAAGTGGGTATCGGCATTTCTATGCATGTCCGATTTCGCTGCGTATATTAACTATATAATTTAAAAATGATTTAAAGATAATAGACCATCGATGTTCACTGAAAACAATCAATGAAGCCATCCAAAAATTAAGGACCACAATAGGTGAGAACAGCTGGGTGATTGATCACTAATTACTATATATACACAGCCACAGGCGATAATGGGTGTTTTACTGGTGTAGAGGACTACACGCTATAATTACCGTATGCATATTTAAGTTAATTTTTGGTAAGTTTTTGATAAAAATAAGTACTTTGAAATAAGAAAAAATACACATCCGAGTAACCGAGTACCATTTTTAGTATTCGATACTCGGACGTTCGATCGAGTACGGTTAACCGGGTACTCGTTGACATCCCTAATTTATATATTAAACTAGAAGGGTAGAAGAATTAAATTAGAAAGGTGCATAATCAAAGAGTGAATCATGAAATTTAAATTCCCAGTATAGGTAAACCAGGAAGTATAAACACCTGACAACAGGTAAATAAAACAAGTATATAGATCACGTGATCTTTGTCACTCTGACAACAAGAAGTTTAATGAAAGAGGACGCCATAACTGACTTAATTCAGGTATCGTAATATTTATGGATTTAATAACAGATAAACGTTGCATGTAGAATATTAGGCATTGAAATTTTCATCTCAAATAAGCAGAATTTCTCAATAAAAGGTTGAATATTTTTTATACCCTGTACTTTCATATTAAATTCGCATTTTAAAAATATGTTATTGAAAACATAAGTCTTTTACCAAGAAAAGACTCTAAATTAAATAGCAAATTTTAGAATCACCTTGAGCAGTCAACTTTTATATAATGTACAGTTTTTGGCTGGTAATCATTACTTTTAAAATTTTCACATAAACTGAACTCTTGTGATAGAGTTTTTCACGGGCCTATTCACTTTTTTATTTGCTTTCTTTTCAATGAAGTCATTCATTTCATACAATAAATTCTCTAATCATAAGTTACTATATTGTCCCAAATGAGTGCAAAAATACCATTAAACATTTTCAAACCAGTTTTAGCCAGATTGTATATATACAACTTGAAACAAACAAGTATGACATTTTTTCTTTAAAGTCTACGGAAATGAACAATTTGTAAATTTTGTCCATTGCTGTCAAGCTAGCAAGGGTTTTTTTTTTATATTAATTCCAGAGACTTTCTGAGTGTGACCTATTAATTGATTCTGAACATGTATTATATATTTTTATATATATTTACATTTCCAAATATTTCCCCTTAAGATTCTTTGCAAATAAGAAAAAGTTCATGTTTTCAGGAACTACACGGGATGAGTAAGAATATCTCTATTGTGATGCGATTGTATTCAAAAAAAAATATTGAATTTTAAAAATATATGTGGCAAGTCATCAGAAAAATAATGTTTGTTTGTAATTGTTATTTGTTATTGTTTAACGTCCCTCTCGAGAATTTTTTCACTCATACGGAGACGCCACCACTTCCTGGTGGAGAGCTGCAATTTTATGTCTATACTCGGAACTCAGGGCCATTGAACAGTGAGGGATCTTTTTTTGTGCCAACACCTACTGCAACACGGGACCTCGGTTTATAAGGTCTCATCCGAAGGACCGGTCTCCACGTCCCACAGTGGATTCGAACCCGCGATGTAAGGATCAGCTCCTTACTTCACGACTCTAGAGCAGACTCTCTAACCACTGCGCCATGTGGGTGACTAAAAAATAATGTAAATATAAGATATGAATTTAATTTTAATTCATCTCTTAAGTTACTTTCTGCATGCAATGGATAATGACAAATAATGATGAATCCCTGTCTGAAGTGGCAGTCATTTTCCTATGTTAAATTTCTGTATTTTGTGTCAACAAACAACTGAGACAGTTTGAGTTTTAAAGTATATAATGAAAATTTAGTAATGAATTTGCCACAACGTTAATATACTAGTTGAACTACAGGAAGTTTGGAAAGAAAAAAATGATTTAATGAATGAACCTAGTTTAAATTCCAGGTATTTATGCATTTTGAGACATAATGCAAAAAGAGATGTCTTTTATACCCTTGGACGAACAGACTATATACATGTAAAAATTATTTAATTAATTAGTTTATTGTTTTATTTAAGATCTCATGCCAAACTTTCTTTAATTATTTTTATTAATTACCAGTACTGTATATCTTTTAACTTTCTCCTTCAGAGTCACAAGTTAAATCATGGACCCCCGTACCAGCGCCCAGGACGTAATGCGATGTGACCTGTGCGAGACCGCTGTGGTACAGATGTACTGTGATACATGTCTTGTCAACCTGTGCAAGGCGTGTGTTGGAGAACACTTCTCTGCTGATCTCTCAACACCTCATAAAATTGTTGACTTCAAGAACAGAAAATCCACTCTGATCTACCCTGGATGTAAATCTCATAAAAAAGAACAATGTACAATGTACTGTAATCAATGTGACATTCCTATATGCACTAAGTGTATTGCATCTGATCAACATCTAGGTCATAAAGTATCAGAAATCTTGCAAGTTGTGGATGAAAAAAAAGAAAAGATTATCAAAAAACAAACTGAACTAAATGACACAATTTATCCAACCTATCAGGACATTGCCTCTGATGTACAAGACAGAATGAGTCAGTTAGAAAAGGAATATGGAGATCTCTCAACAGCCATAACAAAACATGGAGAAAACTGGCACAGAGAAATTGATACACTTGTCAAGAAACTTAAAACTGAAGTTGATGAGATGAAAAACATACAGTTACAAACTCTACAGAAACATCTGGATGAAATAAACAAGACAATTTCTGACATCAAGGATGAAATCAGTTCAGTTCATGTTCCTGAGGGTTCTGAAAACATTTCAAAACTGTTTAGTATTACCATCAATGTAGATAGATATAGAAATCTTCCACAAAAAATTCTGCCACCTTTGCCTGAATTCACTCCAGGCAGAATTACTGGAGGAGAACTTGGTAAAATATTTGGAAGTTTATCACCAAATTCTCTTACATCAGATAAACATGACTACATCATGAAGACAACACAGAAATCACCAGAAGCTGGATCTTCTCCTCCAGTCAAACAACTGCTTGATGAACCAGCGACTGTCACCAACATACACACTGAGTTTGGAGAAGTTTGCGATGTGGCCTGTCTGAGTGATGAAGAAATCTGGACAAGAGGAGATAACAGCACCATGAAACTCTACAGTATCAGTCGTAGATCACTACTCAAGTCAATCAGGGCCAAGTCAGGGGTCGCACCTTCTGACATAGCAGTGACAAAAAGTGGAGATCTAGTTTATACGGATTACAGTGATAGAACTGTGAACTTTGTAAAGAATTCAAATGAGAGGATAGAGGAGGTGTTTACACTAAAGGACTGGAGACCTTACAATGTCTGTAGTACCTCCTCTGGTGACCTCCTGGTTGTCATGGTGAGCAATGATGTCAAACAAACAAAAGTTGTCCGTTACTCTGGCTCTACAGAGAAACAAACCATTCAGTTTGATGAAAATGGTAAACCTCTCTATTCATCTTTTCCTTCCTATTTCCAAGTGGCATACAATCCTGGAGCTTTTCACACAAATTTTACTGAGAACAGGAACCTAGATATTTGTGTCTCTGACAATAGAGCTAAAGCAGTAGTGGTGGTCAATCAGGCCGGGAAACTGAGATTCAGGTACACTGGACATACTGCTCCGTCCTTCTGTCCACGAGGAATCACCACAGACAGTCAGGGTCATATCCTTATAGCTGATGATAACAATGACTGTGTCCACATCATAGACCAGGATGGACAGTTCCTCCGTTTCATACACTGTGAACTGAGTGATCCCCTGGGACTGTGTACAGATAAAAATGACAATCTGTTTGTTGCTCAAAATCGAAATGGAAAAGTGATGAAAATCAAATATCTGCAATGAATTCAGACACATTTATAAAATACTTGGTAATAAATACACGTTTCCTTACATATGCGTCACATATGAGTCACTATATCAGCTATATCAGCTTCAAGGCCTGACATGGATCCTACAGGGCTTATATGGATGCCTGCAGAGCTGATATGGATTTGCAGGGCTGATATAGATTCATATCATACCCCTAAGAGCCCTTGGAGATTTTTAATACTTAAAAAAAGAGTACTTAGATAATACATCTATTTATTTTTTGTTCACATTTCTGTATGAAAAACATCAGTCAACATTCGACTTAATGATAGATTGCATTTGCTGACAGGTGATATTGGTATATTGCTACATAAATAAAAGAAAAGTTGAAATCATCACGTTTATCATAAAGTTTTGTTGTTAAATTCCCATTAACATCACTTCAATGTACAATATCCAAATATAAAACAGATGTGTCAGACTCTCTGGTATCTTTTATTTCGAGTTCAGAGATATATCAAATCAACGATGGAATGAAAATGAATATTGTTAAAGGAAACGTCAAGTTTATAATAACTTTTTGATGTTTCATTCATTTAATGGTCATTAATAAATTTTACCTGATACTGTCATTTGTTTTCACTTAGTTATATAGTAATAAGACACGAAAGTTATTAGTGAACTGACTGCTGGAGGCTGCCATGTTGAGAGATAAATCTATCTCGCTTGCTAAATACTTCAATCCTCAACCCTCTGATTTATGACGACTTCCTGACATATTGGCTCCAAGTGCAAGCACTATCATGTCAGAAACAAGTTATGAAAACGTGCTTACGATTTCATTTGAATCTGAATGTAATAAAGGAGATATTATTTCACATGCTAATGATTCTAGTGGTACAGAATTGAGGAAAATGAAAGAAGGAATTAATATTAAAACACAGTTATATCTCTTGGAAAAATTGGGGATAAAAGACATAGTTGCAAAGGTTGTATATTTCACTTGATTTTTAATTTCAAAATTTAAAAAGTTAACATGTGTCTAATATAAGATGTTCATCTTTCTCCAATACTTAAAAATTTGCTTGAATAAGTTTATTTTTGATATTATACAATTACTGCGGTTTTTGAGGTCAGTATGATGATTTAGCTACCTGAGGAGTACAAGCCAAAAGGGTGAGGTGAATATTGTACTTCGAAGATGGCTAAATCACCATATTGGCCTCAAAAACCGGAATAATTGTTTTATTATATCATGATTCAATGATGAAATGATACAAACTCATTAAGCAGTCCAGGCAATCTTTCTTGTTTACATTTGCTGAAGTCCTAGCCAAAAGCAATGAGAGAAGCAGGGTTAAATAAACATTACCAGTTGAATTTATTTGAATTTTTTTTAAAATCTACTCTATAATTAGTTGCTCGGGAAAAAAAGAAATAATGTCAGGCTCTTTTTTAGGATACATTTTGAAATTTTGAAAAAAAGGGGGGGGGGCATTATCAGGGAAAAATGACAGCTGAAAAAAATCTTTGATTAGCCCCAACGAAAAGAGAATTCTTTTAACTTCAAATTTTGTTTTGGGGTTGGGTGGGGTATTAAGGTCCATTAGTTGGGGACCAGTCTTTCAATGAATATTTTTAGTCTAAATTAAAAGAAAAAATTTACATTCAGAAAGAAAAAAGGGAATGAGGTCCCCTGCAACCCCCAGCCCCACAACCACCCCCTCCCATAAATTACCCCGGTATTTATTTCCTAATGTTATGTTCACCTGAGTGGAAGTGGGTAGCAAGTGAAAAAGCTTTCCAAAACTATTTGGAATTTCTCAATCTATTTTTAAACAAATCTAGGAAGGTCACGTGCAGGTGAATATAACATAGTATTTCCCCTACAGTGTTGCATCTCAGCCAGTCAGCGAGAAAGGAATTATTCAATCAAAAAATAAAAATTAATTATATTACTCTGCAACCGTAAATGCATTGAATGTATACATCTGGCATTTAAAGTTCCTTTACTAGCTCATCAGTGGCCATAGTAAGGATTCCCCCATGCTGTTCCAATTTAGCAATCAATATCAACTTTAACTGCCGTTATCAGCAGTGCAATGTTAATAAGGTGCAGCTTACTGACCAAACACTCCCTTTTTGATAAAACGTCGTCGATATATATTTAAATGTTGACTTGAAGGCTATAGCAGGAGACTTCTTTTCACATAGAAGTTTTTGAATAAATTCTGCTTCATATGAATACAAAAATAGCTCTCCTAATAAAAGGATGCAATTAGTACCCATAGAAATTCCAACAGATTGTTGGAAGACTTTTAATTTAATAAGTCATCGATTGATTGACTGATAGTTGTTTTACGTCTCGTTTGAGAATCTTTCACTCATGTACATATGCACTATACAATGTATACTGGTGAAGAGCTTCAAAGGAACACTTCGTTATTAATGGGCCAGTGACCTATAAGACCAGGACTGGTTTTCGTATTTACAAAATAACTTGTCAATTTCTGTTCCGGTCAATGACTCTACATTCATGTACTAATTCGTTTTATTTCAATAGGAGGAACCTTTTCATAGACATTAACTATGTACCATGCCATTGTCAACACATTTTGAGTTTGTTATCTAAAAATGTTATTTAATATTTTTCTTTACTTTTCATTTGTCTATAGTGTTAATTTTTTTTCTTGATGTGTGGATATAATAAAAACATGCCATTAATATATACAAATTATATACAACTGTAGATGAAATCAAAGGGAGTGCAGATACTGATATGTATAGTCCTACTGTTTGAAAACTTGAGATCTGAATTTAGCAGTTAGCAGGTTCGGGGAAACGTAAATTCCGCTATAATACTGGTATATCACTATTATAGCGAGATTCCGCTTTATTTTCAACCGTATTTATCCTCGATTTCATCAAACAACATGCTTGCTGTTTAAAGCGCAAGTCATGGTGGGTATAAAAATGGACAACTATTGGCACCCTTACATGTTATGATTTTATTAAATTTTCTGTCGATGCGTTTAATAACTGTTTTTAATAATGTGAACACACTTTTTAAAATGGAAGTTACATTTTTAACATAGCAACCAGTGATTGTAGTAGCATTCAAGATAGACTGAATCTCAATTTCTCTCACACGTGTGCACAAATTAATGCTTGTAAGAATTTTCAACCCACATTGAAAGAGATTTGTCGAATTTACAGAAGAAAAGATTATTTTTGTCTGTATGGTTACAGGTATGAAGGCGCGTTGTGACAAATGAAAAAAGTTCATTACATGTATACATTATTCTAATGGAACCAAATCAGTGTTTTAACAGACAAAATGCTGTTCTGGCCAACTTTGGAGGTTACTTTTAAAGTTGTAAATAATAAAGTTGTCAACAATAAATTTTACGTTAAAAATACAAATTTGAAAAAAATCACATAATTATATACAGTAGGAAAAAAACAAATAAACATTAATTATTCCAGGAAATATGTCAATTCTTTTGAAATTGTGAATACATCCTTTAGACCTTTACTTTGCACTCAGGGTCATTAAGCAGTAGGGGATCTTTATCATGCTCAGTCAACTAATCTTCATGTTAGGCAACTATAACAATCCAAGAGACAGAATTTATCAATCTCTATAACCGGGATCAAAGTTATGGCGGCTAAGCAAACTTTAAACCTATAATAGAGGTATAGATTCTCATTAACGTAATTAAGATTGTGATTCAGGTAAGTGGTTAGTGTGAATATGTTTCGCATCTTTTAGGTGTTACCAGATTTGAATTGTCTACACAAAAACAATTAAGATGGCTTTACATTTATAATACAAATATTTTTTACGAAGACAATCATTTTCTCAGGGCTGATATCTTTTATGAGCAGTCGGCCCTGTTTGTCTAGCTAACTTTATGGTGAGTTTCAAACATTGATGATATGGGAATTAATATCTTGGATTTTTACCTGTAAACCTAAATTTCTGCTTCAGTGGTTCACAGATTTCTTCCTCCACGGATGACTGACTTTTCCTGCCCAGATCCAGAATCCAAGGAGTCTGACTCAGAGTGCGGCTGTACTTATTGTATCTACCTGTGTAGGAATTAGAAAGAATGTCTCAGACTTATTTCTACAAACTACAGATATTTAGGTATTGTACAGTGTTTTAATTTTTGCAAATTACATCATTGTCCATTATTCTTTTATTAATTAGTTCAATTCATAAATATCATCCCCTAAAGATAGCTGTAACAGGTTTTGAAATGAATATTTACAAGTCTGCAAAACCATCAAGTAAATAGGTTTTGGTCATCTTCATGGCTAATTTTCTAACTATATGAAATGGAGTTGATTTCATTTTTGATCATCAATGAAAATCAACTTCGATCACCAAGACACTCCCTAAGACTAAATTCAATCCTTCTGTTAAATATTAGCTTCCAATACGTCTTAATTTAAACATATAGAAGATACACACATTTACACCTTTTTCCAGTCACTTTGACTAATTTTGAGCCTTCCTTCAAAGTAATGATGCACTGTAATGTAAACATTTGTCTTAAATATGGCTATATTTTTTTTCCACTTGTGATTCTGTCCTTGACTTTGATCTTATCAAAATAATCTTAGAACAAGGTCAAAGCCACCTTTATTTTTTTATTTATTCATTTTTTTTTCTCATCATGAGATTTCAGTATGTTTCCGTTACAATCATAATGTCCATATATGAGGTCCATATATAAATTACATTTTTTCTTGCCACAACATTGAAACAAGGTTGTAACACGCTTCAGTCATCAATTTTAATGAGCGGCCAAGTTCCTTCATTACAAAGTTATAAACTGGAAACAATTTTCAGATCTTTTTGGCTATTGCTCTTAATTGGTTTCAGTTACAACATACTCATAAGTCTGAGTTAATTTTTATATTAACTAGAGTGTTCCTAGAAATGCATGCGTCGCCTGCTTTGTAGCTTCAATAAAGGTGTAAAGAAATCTAAGAGTGGTCAATTTTTTATTTACTATAAGCATGATGGACTAATAGTTCATGTATTTTCATGCAAAGAAAAAATGGCATCAATGGATAGTATTATACTGCGATAGAATCTGACAATTAAAAAAAACCATATGGTTCCCTAACTCTCAAATGAATAATTAATTTGAAATTATTAGAAATAACTATTTGTCATTTTATTACTACGTGATTCCAATAATCATTCAAAAGAGATTTCAGTCTGTCTTTACTGCATTACTCAGTCTACACGATCTATTGTTGAATACCGATCCCGATGTATTTTCATGGTTTGTGTGGTAACTGAATATCATACGGTTTCAAAGGAGACTATCAAGAGCTCATAAACATGTATAAATGCTGAATATCTAAACCATGCCTCTCAAAATTCAAAAGTCATAAGTTTAATTCAACTGCCCGAGTATTTATTTGCAAAGTAGGTCAAAGGTCAAGGTCAAGTGAACTGTAACGCTGGTATTTTTCATGATGTTTTATAACAATCAATACATATGCTAAATAGCATGGACTAACATCTTTTTAAAATGTCAAAAATATGCTGTGTATTGGCACTATTCACTTTTTTGTAAAATAGGTCAGAGGTCAAGGGTCGCGAAATCGTTAACCTTGACAATTCACAAAAGCCATGGTGCCAAGCAATATATGTGCAAAATATCAAGTCCATATCTCTTACGGTTCTTGAGATACAAGGTGTGACAGACGGAAAGACAGACAGATGCCGGATAAAGTGATCTTTTAGTGCCGCTCTGCTCTGCAGGTGACACAAAAAGGAGCTTGGGTATGAAGAAATATTAAAAAAACAAGATGTATTTGTGAAATACTGATGCCCCCATGTCATATGGCAACTTATAGCAAAGGTTAAACTTTCTCAAATGCAAATATATTGGTACCCAAAGTAACGTCTTGTCTCGTGGAATATATCTGTGAAAGCCCTAGCAGCAACCATTGAATAGATATGGAAAAGGTTAACGTTTTTTTTCAAAAGTATGTCAAACATCAAGGTCAAGGTCAAATGGTCAAAATTAATGGTGCCCAAGGAAAGGCCTTCTCCCAAGAAATACACAGGTGAAATATGAAAGCCGAAGCACCAATCGTTCAAAATTTTATGACCAAGGTTAAAGTTTTCCAAAAAGTAGGTAAAATTCCAAGGTCAAGGAAAAAGGGCCAAAGTTGTTGGTATCCAAAGGAAGGTCCTGTCACAAGAATGTGACATGTGACATGTGAAGAATGAAAGTCCTAGCACCAATTGTTCAAAAGTTATGGCCAAGGTTAAAGTTTGGTAAAATTTTGCAAAACTGGGTCAAACTCCAAGTTCAAGGTCAAAAAGTCAAATATGGTGGTTTCCAAAGAAAGGTCTTATCACAGGAATACACATGTGAAATATGAAAGCCATAGCTCCAACCATTCAAAAGTTTTTGCGAAAACTATATACCCCCGAATCTTCGATACGGGGGCATAAAAATATGATTTATGTTTTTTTTCTTTGTTAACTCAACATTTTGGATTTAATATATAAAATGAATATGCTAAATATAAATATTAGCTAATTATAAATATTAATATGAAATACATAACAATTAACACCACTTGTGTAAAATGATTTTGTTTTACAACAGATATATAACTTCTTTGAATATCAGAATTATTTGTATTCGTGAAGAAATGTTTTGTTCATTTCAATACAAAAAAAGATTTTATAACCAATTAAACATATCGTGATACATATCGTATCGTGGCTCAAATATCGTGATATGTATCAATACAGAAAAAGTTGTATTGTCCCAGCCCTACATGTTTCTATTGCTTGAAAATGATTGCAAAGACAGACCTATACACAGACGATTCCTATATACATTTATAGCCGCATACTTTGTTTGCAGGCAATAATATGGAAATTAGCCTGCAAAACAGGCTAAATTTACTAGGAAAAAAGTTCATTCTAAATTAAAAAAAAACAACAGAAAACTGACAAGCTACAAAGACAGCATCATGGACACACTTGATCTCATCACATTTACAGATACTGTTCTCATTGTTCTTTAGGACGCTGTAGTTCCTGTTCAATAGATAAATAATATAATCAATGTACAGTCAATCCTTGATATCTGTAGTTCCTGTTCAATAAATGAATACTTTACTCACTACACAATCAACCCTTCATATCTTGAACTCACCAAGAATGACAAAAACAAAATTAAATAAATTACATTTTTAAGCACAAATAGCATCATATTGCTTTTACCGATTGATAAATACTTTAACTTAGTCACTCATTTACAAATGTAGATCAGATCCAGCATCCCAAACAAGCCTGATGATGTCCATCCCTATATGCATCATCCATGCAAATACAGATACCAAAGAGCAAATGGTTACTTAGGAACCGACTTGCTTCAAAAACATTAATCTGGTCACTCAACTACAAAAGATCCAGTATCTGAAGCAGGCTTGGACATGTACATCCCTAGATGCATCATCCATGTAAGTTTGGTCTCGTTAGGGTTAATATATAGTTACTTGGGAATAGACTTGCTTCTAAATCTTTAACCGGGATGCTGAGGTAATCTTATAAGTCATCTTATGAACCTTTTGAAATATCCAACTGTAATGTCCGATAACACTTTGGCTACATTAGTCCTTGTGTAGGTGTCTCCATAATTCTACAAAATCAATGAAGGTTGAATGCTAATGTAAGTTAGTAAAGTTAAAATCTTCATATAAACTTTTATTTCTTTTAACTCACCCAGAATCATTTAATCTTGGACACACTGTCTTTAAATACATGTATATATGTACATTTGCAGCATGGCCAACTTGTTCAGATTTCATCACATTACTGCTGACATTATTGGTAATAGGAATTCAATTTCAAAAACCTGCATATATTCAAACTCACCTTTTGTTGGTTTTTCCTTTTTTCTGAATAATGCTGGACTGTGGTAAGACCTACAATAATGTTACAGCTAAATGAAAATCTTGTTAGAATCAGGAAGAAGTATCAATGATCAAAAACCACAATCACTTGAATGAGTTATATGTATAATACGTACAGGAAGGTGCATTCCTTATCTGACTTGTCGTAAGTAAAGTTGAGAATAATGTCAAACTTACTCTACAAAATAGAAACACTGGTAATCAAAGATTACAAAGATCAACGATTACAAAGCTTACCTTGACAAATGTTATCCATAAGTTGCACACCAAACAAATGTTCTGGTAACATGCATCCCCTAAATATAACATCTCTACATGTTTGGTTCAGGTAGGATCTAAAAACTCTTTCATGAACTTAGTGTATCGTTAAAGTACGTGAATCAGAACATAGTCAAATAGTGAAGGCAAGATAAAATATAAAAGTCAGAGATATGATTTTTATCACTTTCCCATATGTTTAGCACTTTTTCATAGGTTAAAGCATGTATCGCAGTAGCATTGTCCTTTTTTAAAAGAATAATTTGTTAGTTTTTGACAAAAAAAAATTCTACCTGCATGAAGCCTTAAACATGCTAAATACACATAAAAACATTTGAAACTTCATTCATTCTTGACCCTTATAATATTTGCATTCTTTTTATTGCAAGACTCTAGAAATGTAAACAATCTACATTTGATTGTAATCAAGGATATGTGCCAGCCTGTGTTGAGAGACTCAAGGTGAAATGAAGGTCATCTATTTTCTCTGCAAACATACTGTACACTACTCTCTCCCTTATCGCCAGAGGGAGCCGGTGAAGGAAGTGGATTGGTGTCTTGATAAATCATAAGATCCTAAGATCCTGAAAATAAAATGCAAAGCAAAATCAAGTAGTCAATATTTCTTTCAATACAAATGACAGTATCAAATGACAATTATTCAAGGATTACATTCAAGCATTTCATTGAAATTCAAACTACTGACATCCCTATTACGTTCTCATTTGGAATAACAAAGAATGAAAAATGCAAACAAGCGGTGTCAATATAAAATGCGTTCACAATTTAAAAAATCTAATATACTATTCACGTTTGCATATCTGTTCAATATTTTTGTGAATAACCTAATTCTACCTGGAATTTTTAAAACAGTTTTGAGTAAATAACCTTTATTTTTATGTTATATATTCCTTTCAAGTCATTAAATGTGAGCACACCTAATAATTAAAAGAATTTTTCAACAATACGATAATACTTCTGGAAGTTTTGATTGTTTAACCATAAGTGGCTATAAATTGGGACTAGCCAACAAATTGTGGAACAATCTGTCAATGAAGCACTTTGGTCTTGATTTGTGCATGGACACTTCTTCCATGCTCTATAAAATTTATTTGAGTAAATGGACTCCATCTTGTTTCTACGTGTTTCACTGTTTAACACAGCACGACACCTTGTCTTCCTGGTGCTTGAGAAGTTGTTCCTCAGAAAGAGGCTGGTTAGACCAGCATAAGGTAGAAAAGGTCTTTGTTTTCTTGATTTAACCTGACTTCAATTTCTTCACATCCTTTCTATTGAAAGAGTAAAATGAGCGTATCGTAGAGATAAATTAAAATTAAATGACAATCTTTTGCAACTGATTTACATGTCATCCATTGTCAAATATTTTTGTTAGAAATAAAAATTCTTACTTGTCAACAATTTGTTAATCTCTGACCTCGACATCAGCTAACTTGTTGATTACCTATTAAAAAAAGAATATATTGAAATGAACTCAGTGAGAAATAACTCTACATTTACTAATTAGACAGATTTAAGAAATCGATGTATGTTCAAGAATTGATGCTGCACCAATAAAATCTATAAAAAAATTACCGAGCAAAACAAAATAATGCTATTGTCCGTTGTACATGCTCAAAAAGAAGAATATGTTTACAGGAGAATGTGCAAAAATATTGTGATTTTTACCCCCCCCCCCCCCCCCCAAAATGATTTGAATGTGTTATGACCGCATATTGTATACAAGTGTTTAAACATGGAAAGAAATTTCTCCAATTGCTAGAATGTTTCATCACCCCTAAGGAGTGATTTTTTTTATCCCTTGCTAAGAGAACTTTAAGCTTACATGTCATTGGTTGCTGTAACCCATGCACCATTTTATTCGTAACTTGGCAGTTAATTTTTGTCCATTAAATGTTTAAGTTAGTGACTTTTTTTCCTCCTACAATAGTTCCTTAATTTGTTTAGTATCAAAAGTACTATCAGTTGGCAAACACCCCGTCTTTTGACAGTTAAACAAATTAATTGCACTCAAGTTGAAAAAAGGTAAATAAGGATAAATAACATAATTTTTTTCTTCCAAAATTCAAATATCTTTGCTTAAATAGGTGCCTCTTTCAATAAATTGATATATGTTCAGTTTAACAACTTTATTTTTGGCCAAACCACATAATCTGGTGAAAAATGAGAAAATATAACTTTACATTTCACTATAATTTTTTGAAAAGTTCTGGAAATATATGATGTTTTGTTACTGTAAAGTTTCTGGGAACATTTTCAAGAGTCTTTTATTGAATTTTTATACAGAAAAATTTCCTAATTATATTTTTATTAAAAGAAATATTGGAAAAATAGCAATACAACTCTTCTGTACTGGAGAAAAAAAATTTTGTGGTGCGTATCTTTAACTTGAACAAATTCTGGAATCTTTATTTATCTTTTGTATTTCTAAGATATCATCTGCTGAAAATTCAACTCGATGTGGATTATACATTTCTACAACAAAAGAAGCACCTGCAAACAATTTTTTTATTATAACATTTTTATTTCAGCACAAGTGTATCATCATTATGATAAGCTCTCAAGTGGGAAGTAAATATGATGTTCTCAATGACATGTTTTGGCATTAGACCAAGTGCATGTCCTTATTCCATACCTATTTTAGGGAACAATTTAAACACTTAAAGTCTGCTAGGTTTATTAATGTACAGGAAAAAATAAAACATGATAAACTTGTACAAATAAACTTTTGACCTAGAAAAGCAAATAACTCCTGTATTTTAGGCTTCAAATAGTTTTGTGCACAGGGTTTTATGTGTGCTTATTATATTTCCTTCATAGTTTAAGATTTTTAAGGAAAAAACCCCCCACACATTTAAAAAAAAAAAAGATTAGCACAATGTTAAAAACTTTGATTATTTTCTGTGGATTTAACTTTTTGAATTCTATATACCAAAGGCTTAACGGTTTCTTTGCAATTTTGATTTCCACAAAGTCGTGACATGTTTGCTGAAACACCCTGTATGTATCTGTGACAATGTGCATAATGAGGAAAAATTAGAGAATTCTTTCTACTTTTGAGACACCATAAGATATCTTTAACAAAACAATACTTGATGGTTTATTGAAAATCACAAGATTTCGTTGAAAAAATAGCTACCACAGACTTAAAAAACTTTGAGATCTAAGCTTTGTGTACAATATTATTCAGTTGTTTGCAGAGTTTTTTTTAATTTCACACCTTTTCCCAACATTCTTACATCTATATCTTCTCGTCCTGATGAAGAAAAACGTTGCTCTGAAAGAGAAATACAAAGTACAATAAATGCATTAAGAATTTGTCTACATCATTTATAGCTAGAGGCCCATGGGTCACACAGCCCACTTGAATTAAATACGTATTTTTCCTCACACACACACACACAAACAAACATATGTATATGTTGTGTGTGACTATTTCTTCAATATATATATATATATATATATATATATATATATATATATATATATATATATATATATATATATATATATATATATATATATATATATATATATATATATATATATAAAGAAGCAGTCTCTCACTGTAACCATAATGTTAGCTAATAGCTAAAGGTCCTGATGGTGTGTATATGTATACGGCTATATCACACTGATGCTTGCATTTACAAATATCATATATGGCACTTGCTGTTCATAAGTTTATCTATAATTCCTATAACAACTCATTACAACCCCTGATCAGATTTGTATGACCCATTAGAGAGATGATTGACAAAACTTGGCCAAATTACAGTGTTTGAATTTGCATTTGAGAACAAGACTATAAATATTTTTCTATATTCCATAATAAAAGTTAATGAACCCCTGGTGGGCTCATATTTATCCAGAATAATTTGACAGAATTCACCAGAAATTACTATACTGTAAAGTACAATCTGTTTTCAAACAAAAAATATCCTTACGTGTACTTTGATACTTGTTTGTGAGTAAAACATAATTTTTGGCCAGATTTGTTTCATTCTAATAATCTCTGAAATATGCAGAAATTTCAGCAGATCTTCAGTTTTTGAATTATGCAGTAACTTGATAATGAAAAACATGCATAGATTTATTTATTTTGTCAGAAAAACTGAACACAGTAAAGGCATGTTACTATCCTTGTTTCATCACTGAAGTGTTCCAGTGAACAAAAGACTTAATTAATCCTTTGCAATCAAGTAAAAAATATATTTAACTTAAAAGAGGCGCATAATCAGTGAGTGAATCCTGATATTTGAATTCCCAGGAAGTAAAAACACATGACGACAGGTAGATAACATAGGTAAGTGGGTCACGTGATCTCTAATTTCCTAGACACAATTTTATATGTTATTGACAGGAGACACTATTACAGTCTACAATCAGGTAATATCTCTGGTTTGAGTCACTGATTAATTATGCATAAAGGATGTTGGTCATGAAGTGTTCATCTTAAAAATGCATCATATAAACAGGATTTTCTAAAGCAATAGCTGGATATTATTTATACTTTCACTTTAAGTTCAATATACGCGGGTTCGAGTCCCACTGCGGGACGTGAATACCTGTCCTTCGGATGAGGCCGTATTAACCGAGGTCCCATGTCGCAGTAGGCGCTGGTACGAAAAAGATCCCTAACTGCTCAATGATCCTCAGCGCCGAGAATAGGTTGAAATTTGCAGCCCTCCACCGGCAAGTGGTGGCGTGTCCATATGAGTGAATAATTCTCAAGAGGGACGTTAAACAACAAACAAACAAACATAAAATTCAATTTAAAAACATTAAAACATTAGTTTTTTAACTAAGGAAAACTGAAAATTCAATTTAAAAACATTAAAACATTAGTCTTTTAACTAAGGAAAAACTGAAATTTTTATTTTTTAAAAAGTACTAAAATCA